ACGAGGGCTTCAAACTCTTCCTCGCACAGCAGCAGCAGCACACGTCTGCTGCTGCTGCTTCTGCTGCTGCTGCTGCAGCAGCAAAACGCAAGAGAGGGCTGTCTTCTTCTCCCTCCACCCACCACCCGATTAAACAAAAACAACTCGCGGCCTAAAGGCCCAAACTGCACGCAAACCCTAAACCCTAAACCCTAAACCCTAAGCCCTAAACCCTAAAACCCTAAACCCTAAACCCTAAAACCCTAAACCCTAGTAAACGGTTGAGGCCCAAACTGCACGCAAACCCTAAACCCTAAACCCTAAACCCTAAGCCCTAAACCCTAAAACCCTAAACCCTAAACCCTAAAACCCTAAACCCTAGTAAACGGTTGTAAATCCCAGTAAAACCCAAACCCTCATGAACAATACACCCCCATAAACCCTAAACCCTAAACCCTCGTAAACCCTAACTTTAGCCCTAAACCCTAAACCCTTCCTCTTAGGCGCTGGCCCTCAATTCAAAACCCTCGGCGTAAATAGTATACCCTAATAAACCCTAGTAAACCCTAACAAACCCTAACAAACCCTTATAAACCCTAATAAACCCTAATAGACCCTAATAGACCCTAATAAACCCTCATAAACCCTAATAAACCCTAATAAACCCTCATAAACCCTAATAAACCCTAATAAACCCTCACCCTCGAGCGTTCATCTCCTAAACAAATGCGAGAGCGCGGAGGGAAGCCTTCGTAAGCACGCCAAGCTAAAGCACCCGTCTTGCTGTTTTGTTTTGCTGCTGCAGCAGCAAATCTTGACAAGCTGTCTTTAAGCAGAGGCTCTGCTGCTGCTGCAGACATCGAAGGGAAACGCTCGTACACAGATAATGCTCCTGCTGCTGCTGCTGCTCCTGCTGCTGCTGCTGCTGCTCCTGCTGCTGGCGTTTCAGGCGCTGCTGCTGTTGCTGGAACTTGAGGGGCTGCTGCTGCTCTTGCTGCTGCTGCTGCTGATTCAGGAGCTGCTGCTGCTGCTGTTGCTGCTTCAGGCGCTGCAGCAGATGCATCTGATGCTGCGCGTTGCTTTTTCTTCGGCTTATCCGGTTTTTCTGCTGCTGTTTCTTCGTTTGGCTGCTCCTCTGATGAGCCTGTTGTTGCTGCTGCAGCATCAGTTGCTGTTGCTGCTGCTGCTGCTGCTGCTGCTGCTGCTGCCTTCTGCTTTTGAAGCTGCTTCTTTTTCTGCTTTTTCAATGGTTTCCCCTCCATAGAACTGCTCCCCTCTGGATCTGCTGCTGCTGTTGCTGCAGCAGCAGCAGCAGAGGCTGCTGCTGCAGTTGCCAGATGATGCCTGGAACCCGAAAAACGTGCTGCTGCAGCAGCTGCTGCTGCAGCAGCAGCTGCTGTTGCTGCTGCCGTTGCTGTCTCTGCTGCTGTTGCAGAGACAGTAAGAGGCCATTTGCTGCGCAGCTGCAGCAGAGAGAGATCTCCTAAGGGTCCTACTGCTGCTGTTCTTGCTGCTGCTGTTACTGTTGCTGCTGCTGTTCTTGCTGTTGCTGCTGCTGTTGCTCTCCTTGCTGCTGCTCCTGCTGCTGCTGTTAGTGCTTGAGCCGAGCCGAGACAGCAGCACATTGATACGGCAGCAGCAGCAGCAGCAGCAGGAGTTGCAGCAGCAGCAGCAGCAGCAGCAGCAGCTTGGCGCTGCAGCAGCAAAGTGCTGCCGATCATGATCAGGGGGGGAGGCGAGACATCGGCGTTGAGGCTAAAAAGTCTGCAGCCCCCAACCTCGTAAACCCTAAACCCTAAACCATAAACCCTAAAACCTAAACCCTAAACCCTAAATTACTAGCCTGGCCTACTGAGACCAGACGATGCATGCCCGCTCGTGCTGCTGCTGCTGCAGCAGCTGCTGCTGTTTTTGTTGTTGTTGCTGCTGCTGCTTAGGAGAATCTGCAGCAGCAAACGAAATACTAATATGGAAGGCTGGATCTAAAGTGTAACGCTAAGGGTTTTTGGTTTAGGGTTTAGGGTTTAGGGTTTAGGGTTTACGGGGCTGCGACCCGGAGGGCAGCCCCACCGATGCGGCTTTCTGCGGTCCTCCGCCAAACCCTAAACCCTAAACCCTAAACCCTAAACCCTAAATCCTAAACCCTAATTGACTGTGGCTGAGTTATTGAGCAGTTTTTTATTTTGTGTAGAGCTTTACTGAGGAGGAGCCGAGCAGCAGCTTCTGAACCCGAAGCCCTAAACCCTGAACCCTAAACCCTAAACCCTAAACCCTAAACCCTAGGCTCTTTGAATCGCACCAGGGGCAACTCGGGCCTCTCTGTGGCATTTGGTGGTTTAGGGTTTAGGGTTTAGGGTTTAGGGTTTGGGCCCGAAACGGGGATTGAGGGTTTGCCTTGGGCCGTCGAGTCGAAACCCTAAACCCTAAACCCTAAACCCTAAACCCTAATTTAGGAGTATTTTCTGTTGCGTGCCTCTCTTTATCGCTCTATCTTTGCAAGCCCGGGGATCTAAACACCCAAACCTAAACCCTAAACCCTAAACCCTAAACCCTGAAGATGCCGCCAGCTAAGAAGAAAGACACAAAAAGTGAGAGGGGGCAGCAGAAAGCCCTGGAGAGAGAAAAGCAAAAAATAATTGAAGACAAAACCTTCGGCCTCAAAAACAAGAATAAATCCAAGGCCGTGCAGAAGTAGGGTTTAGGGTTTAGGGTTTAGGGTTTAGGGTTTAGGGTTTCGAGGGTCCCACACTCTCTGCTGCTCTGTGGAGAGTTTTCTGCCTGCTGCAATTGGGGCAATAGCAGCAGCAGCAACAGCAGCAGCAGCAGCAGCAGCAGCAACAGCATCAGCAGCAGCAACAACATTTAGGGTTTAGGGTTTAGGGTTTAGGGTTTAGGGTTTCGAGGGTCCCACACTCTCTGCTGCTCTGTGGAGAGTTTTCTGCCTGCTGCAATTGGGGCAATAGCAGCAGCAGCAACAGCAGCAGCAGCAGCAGCAGCAGCAACAGCATCAGCAGCAGCAACAACAACAGCAGCAGCAGCAGGAGGCGAAGGTTTCAATATTCTTTGGTTTGCGTTTGTTTTTGTAGTGGTTTGTTTGTGTTGATTGCTTCCTTTTAGGGTTTAGGGTTTAGGGTTTAGGGTTTGTTTGCTGCAGGTTTATTAAATCGGTGCAGCAGTCAGCAAAGGGCCCTCAGAAAGGCGGGGAGTCGCAGGAAATATTAAAGAAGAAGCAGGAGCAGCAAGCAAAGAAAGCTATGCTGCAGCAGCAGATGCTTCTGCAAGCTCTATTCAAAGGTCAGGGTTTAGGGTTTAGGGTTTAGGGTTTAGGGTTTAGGGTTTAGGGTAGTTTAGGGTTTAGGGTTTAGGGTTTAGGGTTTAGTGGTTAGGGGTGAGGGAGAGGGTTGAGGGTATTGGGGGATCACGACTTAGGGTTTAGTTGTGGTCTAGGGTTTAGGGTTTAGGGTTTAGGGTTTAGGGTTTGTGTTTAGGGTACGTATTGAAAGAAGAAGAGGTAGTAGCGTCTGACGAAGAAGAAGAGCCGATTGAAGAGAAAGTAGAGAGAGAAGTAAAACAAACATCTTCAGCTTTCTTTGCTTTGCTTTCTTTCTTTTGTTTGTTTGCTCTATATATATATGTAATATATATATATATATACTTCTGTGTGTATTAAGATGTATATTATATATATTGTATATATTATCTATATGTAGTATATAATATATATATATATATGTATATATATATATATGTATGTATATATATATATATATTATATGCATATACATATACTATATATATATACATATATATATATATATTCATATATATATATATATATAAATATATATTATATACATTATATATGGAGGTGTTCGATATTATATACACTGCATATTATGTTGATACCGCATATAATATATTTATATTATATATATATTATACAATATATATATATTATGTATAATATATATATATAGGCACATCACTAAACAAATAAATATATATATATGTAACTATAGTATATAAATCTATACAAATATT